TCTGAACTGGCGGCACACTGGCTCGGATTTCGGAATTCGTCCTTCTCTCTTCAGTGCGGCGGGAAAAAGATGAGGCTCTGCTGAACCAGTGCAGCCAGTCCGGCTAAAAAGAACAGAGACACCTTGAGTGCAGAGAGTACAGTGCAGCAGGAACTCTGCGTTGCGAGTCGACGTCACCTTTTTTCTTCTTTCCGATGCATTTTGGAACGCGCAATTGTAATTAACAAAGCGATGTAGCGATGTATATACATAACAATTGCATACATGCAATTATAATTTTACATTCGAAGCGACACATATGTATATAAGAAGCAAAGAATTGGAGATTTTATTGATTCAGTCATGTCTTCATTGTTGTTAAATGTTTTATTAATTAAATTCAAATCAGATAAGCGAAAAGGATATACATATAATATATATATGATTTTTCAAACATATATAATTTATATTTGTAATAATATAAATACGTCTGTGCTGAAACCGCTATATAACGATAATTGTAAACGTTTATACAGCGTGTTGCACGATTAATAATTGTGTATTAAAACAAACGTTATTGTATATTACCTCAACGAAGGTTTATAATATCCGATTAGTATAGACTGAAACAACATAAACACTTTTTGTATTTTACAATCTACGTTACAACAGAATTAATTCAATATTTTATAAATGCGCAACACATGTCAATTATTTCTCGCATTTTGTCATCGTGGGACCGAATTTTTGCCCGTCATCTATCAAGTTGGCTTAATATTCTATATTAAAAAGTTCTGCTCGAGTAATAAAAGTACTTCCAAATAAAATCAAAAGATGTATTCAAGTACATGTTGATTTGAATGAAACTTCGCACAAGTATCAGGGAATTCCACCAACTCGAGAAAAAAAGTATATATATAATTATATATATTACAGTCTGCTAGAAGCGAATACTGAGGCTACGAAAGAATGTGAATCGCCAGTAGAGTTGATTAACGACAAGAAGAATTGTTGGACGACTTTAGGCTGGCAAATCCGGATTTAAATAAAGAAACCATCTGCCAGCCTAAAGTCGTCTAACAATTCTCTTTATCGAATACTGAAGCTTTTACTTTATATTATATATTAAAATTATAGTGAACTCATTACGGATTGTGAACAATCGTATGTCACTGTGTTCTCTGCAATCACAAGGTCGATAAAAAATTTAAATAGCTTTTTTTTTGCGAGAAGCAATTCAACATAAAGTATACGTACGTAAGTGTTGTATACGTTTGTAGCCAAGAGCAATAAATGAAGAGGCAGCAAAATAATTGAAGTTAAAAAAATAGCTGAGAAATGATCTGTCCTCGTTAAATTGCTTCTCCCTTTCTTGTTAAAATTTATACATCCTCAAAAGTTGCTAGAAATTTAAGGCGCATACTAACAATCAGCTGTGCAGTAACATTCCGAGCGTAAAGTATAAATCGTCGATACCTACTACAGATAAATATTCGTAATTTTTCAATCTTGCAATTGAAAAAAGCGTTATCACGAAATAAATTGGACCCGCGAGTCTATGAAACCATCTATGTATACGCACGATATATTCACTCCACCTATACTATGTAATCGTACTTACAAGTACTAGGCTTTCATTTTGCTCGTTATAAATAACTGAGTATTCAGAATGGCTGTCACCCTAATAATATTCCGTAATACTATAATATGCTTGATAATAAGCTGAAGAGGCAACTGTACGCATATTACACCGTTTTCTTTTTACAGACAACTTTTATCAATCTTTTGAAGGTATTTATAACTAATATACACGTTTGCTTCGAGAGAATGAAAATTATATGACAAACGTAAAGAGATTTTCTTATACATATTTTCACTCAGGTCGAATAAATAAAGGCTAAAACTTTATTTACTCCGCATAGCAATAATCGTTCACGGTGCAATTTGAAATTTATGCACGGAACGAACGGCTAGAGTCCAAGTGTGTGTGAACTTGATTGGTCTTGAAATATGGACTTACTTTGAGTGTATAAAGACATTTTACAACCAACAATCTTATAACAAATTCTCATTATACACCCAAAGACAATTATACATATACAAATATAATATACATCTATCTACAACACACAAAACTTCTATCTTTAGTTTACATGTTTTATCTATTGTGCTTGCAGTTCTTGTAGCCTCTTACACGAAGACATATCGAAATTTTTAGCTTTCAAGTACAGATCTGGATCTTGCAAGTTGCGAGCTTTCCACATTAGACCGTCTCCTGTTAGAAAACAAATTTAAAACATTTTCAGAATCTGCTTGCGAGAAGAACACGACAGGCATATGCGAAGAGATACAAAAAAAGAGTCAAATACGTACTGTAATTTTTTTCTCTGGCGCAGCCTTGTCTCAAGTGACTCACGTACTCCTCTTCAATTGAAATTTCTAGCCTACGTAAGCTCCCCTGATATTCGCTATGAAAGTTTTCTTTAACGTAATATTGTACTTTCAAACCCTGAGTTGTTCTGACCACGGAATATTTCCTGCGCACGGGGAGAAAATCGTTACGCGTCGTGTCCTACGGAAGTCGTTACCGACATTGGAACATATCGGTCAAGTTATACTCACGAACTCGGTTGCAGGCTGTACACTGGGTCGGATATGAAAAAGCTGCTCATCATAGTCAACAGTATTAATAACAGAACTGGCAACATCTGAAGAAACGTGGTGTATCCGTTCGCTTGCTGCAAGGCGTTACGTCGTGATTAAAAAAATAGAAGAGACAAGGAAAAGCGCTACGTAAAACTGCGCCTACAGCAGCGTCTCTCCGCTTTACCTGAGAATGAGCGTGCTGCGCTTGCGCCTCCGACTGCCGCATCCATCTACCGCCCGGCCGACGCATGTAGAACTCCTGTTGCGGGAAGCCGACGCCGAAGAACATGTTGAACAACTCCTCGGCCGTGATGTCGGCTAGGGAGACATCACGGATTAGGTTTCAGCGCACGAACTCGCGCGGGTCTCGCCGCGCATCGACGCTCCCTTACCTTCAAATCCACGAGTGTAGTTGTAGTGCGTGTGGCCCTGGCGACTATGCGCATTCTGCATTCGTTCCTCCTCGGGGCCGTACATGTCGTACTGTTTCCGCTTCTCCGTGTCGGTGAGGATGGCGACCGCGTTGCCGATAGCTGCAGAACACATTTCTCGGGTGAATGTAATAAAAGTACACTCGGCGGGAAGCGAGCCCGACTTCTCACCCTTTACCGCCATCCCCACGCACCTTTGAAAGACTCGGCAGCGCCCGGTGCCTTGTTCTTGTCAGGATGCAACTGAAGCGCCAGTTTCTTGTACGCCTTCTTAATGTCGCTGTCCGTAGCATCTTTGCTGACACCCAAAATCTCGTAATAATCCTTGCATTTCTTTATCCTGCGACAGGCAAAACGAAGCACAATTTATACCAAAAAGAAAATATGTGACATATAAATTGATAGAAAACGAATACATTGTTCCGAAATAATCTACGCGATCTCGAAATATCTACCTCTTGACGTGCTCCAACTGCTCCTTTGTGTATTCGGAATTACTCTGGGAATGTGCTCCGTCTTTGGCTACATTTTGCCGCTTTCTAACGTTAGGCTCCGCCGACTCGGATTTCTGATTCTGCTTGGAGAGCACCGTTACTTCCGCCAGCAGATCTACAAATATATAATTATTGGATCCCCGTAACCACCGTTATTCTGGCAAAAGGAAGAGAGAGGCATATGTGCTCTCGCGAAAAACGAAAGTTCCAGGCTCGGTCTGCAATGAAAATCGTTAGTCGTCGGTCGGAGCTACGTGTCGGTCTTTTTTCTCCCATCCGGAAAGGAAGGGGATCAACATACAGCTCCGACTTCTGACTGAACGTGTAACGTGGTAAAATCAACATGCTTGTCGCGCGCGGACACGGGACGCCACGCGCACATACCCTCGGCCTTCTTCGTCGGGTAAAGCTTCTGGGCCTTGCGGGCGAATTTCTCGGCCTCCTCGTATTTCCGCTCCCGCATAAACCGCTCCGCGAGCTCCATGCATCGCTCCGCCTCGTCCTTATTGCTGTCCATCTCGTCCGTCGTTGCCCGAGGGGAGTTGAACCGAGTTCACTCGCGATCGCAGTGACGGGGCAGAATGGTAAATAACGCGTGAGGCGTGAACCCTCAACCCCGACGGTCCCGACACTCCACCATAGTAATTCGGTTATTACGTCACGAGCATCGTCACGACAGCTGAGCGGCTGAACGCAGACGACGCGAGGCACGGCAGGACGGGCGCCATTAATCCCGGAATCGTTGATCGGCCCTGCTGATCGGTCGTCACGCGAACCAGCCGGCTGTACGCACGAGTGAAGAGGCTCTCGGAGGCAATTCGCGGGATGATCGATATTCGGGAGATACGAGGTATCTCCGCGTGCAATCGGCCCTTCTGAATCGGAATGTACTTGTCGAACGCGGATTGGCTGTCGGGCGCTGGATGTCTTAAGGCCTGTACCCACGATGCTAGGAACCATAGACTATAAA